AAGGTCGCGAGGAAGCAACAGCAGGAAAAGAAATCTTACTTTTGCATTGTTCAAGTAAGAAGTTTGGGTGATGTTCTTTGCTATTGATGGTTTCTGAGTTGTGTGTTAACTGCATGGAAAGGGATCTTCCCCCCCCCCCCCCCAAAAAAAAAAAATCATGTTGCCTTTAAATCAATAAATTGTTATTGAAGCATTTCGGTATTGCTTGAAAGTTACCTTGAGGTATGGTTTCTTTTTATTTGGGAGCTCTTTCATAGGCTAAGCTAAACATTTAAATTGGTGAAACTCATTTCTTATTATTATGGTAGTCTTATGTGAACTAGTCTAGTTGTGATTCTTGGCTGAACTAAATGCAGTGATAATCATTATTACAGTTTATTACACATATCAATATTCAATATAATACCTAAATTCTTTCTTTTAAATTTACCTGTTGTTTTCATGGGGTGAGCGGTGAGGGTCATGGGGTAAATTAAGGCAATGGGAAGGCAAACTGGATAATTTTCTTCCCCATAGTTTTTTTTCTTAATCACAAATACCGACCAATAATTGGAACCTAACATGAATTTTGGACCGCAGACTATTCCAGACAATTTTCTGAGAAAATTTGGGGGTGAGCTTTCTACAGTTGCTACCCTCACTGTTCCAGATGGCAGTGTCTGGCGAGTAGGGTTAAAAAAATTGGGCAACAGATTTTGGCTCCTCGATGGCTGGCAGGAATTTGTTCAGCGCTACTCCATTGACGTTGGTTACTTGCTGGTATTCAGATATGAAGGGAAATCATCGTTCAATGTTCATATTTTCAATTTGGCTACTTGTGAGATAAATTACCAATCAAACACACGAAGCAGTAATGAAGGGACTTTCTTTCCAAATCAACATCTTAATTTTGATGATATTGAAGATGAAGACGACTACATTGAATTCTTAGATTCATCACCTTCGTCCCTTACTCCTGGTGCATTGCAGAACAAGGCTTTTCCTGGAACTCCTGCGTTGCAGAATTTGTTCCATGGGTCTAAACTTAACTCCATAAACTGGGGAGATGGGGGGAATTCGCTTCCTCCCAATGGTGCCAATTCTCAAGAAAATCAATCAAGCAGAAATATAGGTGTTCAGTTTAATGCGGTCGAGTTCAAAAAGTCTACTGAAGAGCTAAAATTGCGTTTCTCCAATGAGGAAACGCAAAGAGTTAAAAAAACTATAAGAAAGAAGCGGAAAATGGATCCTAGTAAGCCTGCTTTACTCTTTTTTCTCTCCTTTTCTCTGATTTGGGGATCTAAGATTAATTTTACTCGTTATTATTTGGAAGTGCAGATGGACAAGAACCCTCAGCTCAACATGAACAAGAGGGGGACATACGCTATAGATTTTATGAAAGTGCTTCTGCAAGAAAAAGAACTGTGACAGCTGAAGAAAGAGAAAGGGCAATTAATTCAGCAAAAGCATTTGAACCGGCCAATCCTTTCTGTCGTGTTGTCCTGCGACCCTCCTATTTATACAGGGGATGCATAATGGTTAGCCATTGAACTCAGTAGGACTATCATTTTTATTCATCTTGAATTTATGATGCTAAACTCCCCGTTTGTTTTGCAGTATTTGCCATCCTGTTTTGCAGAAAAGCATTTGAATGGGGTTTCAGGATTCATTAAACTCCAGATCTCCGATGGAAAACAGTGGCCTGTTCGCTGCCTTTACAGAGGAGGAAGGGCAAAGTTAAGCCAAGGCTGGTTTGAATTTTCACTGGAAAACAATTTGGGCGAAGGGGATGTCTGTGTTTTTGAACTTCTTAGAATGAAGGAAGTAGTATTGAAAGTTACTATATTTCGTGTCACTGAGGATGCAGGATTGATGAGCCCTCCTATACATCAACACCAAAACGTCAGCCCGACTAAACTGTTGAATACTCCTATGCCACAAACCATCATCCCAGCGAAACTGATGAGAAACTAGCGGTGGTTCAGTTTCTGATAGCCCTATTGTACTCAGCCGATCTTGCTTCTGCGTGATCAGACGCTTTTCATGTCCATAAACATTTTAGGTTGTACACTTGAGTGGAATTTAGATGTTGTAGCTTGGGGAAAGATATTTTCTTGTCCTCTTGTGAGACTTGTGCTGTAAATAGGCTGTTGAATCTAGATTATGAGAAACTGTGCCAAGGTGCTGCTATGTCTGTTTCATATAATGATCTTGACTTTGGTTCACTCAGTTTCCGTCATGGTGATAGCTTCTTCACACTCGCTGCCTCTGTTAAAAAGCTTGAAATTATGAGTTCGATCTGTTTGCCTCCCAAGATTATCTTTTGTGCATGTGTTGACCCAAAAAAAAAAAAAAGTTTTTTCATAGAGTTTGAAATATTTATCGGAATTTTTCGTTCAGATTATGTGCACATTTTATACGCTTATTGATCGCATGGGAATCAAGCACTCCGTACATAGGCATCTTCGCCGTGTTCAGATGTCACAACGCCGTGGTTGCGCATAGTTCAATGGGTATCGTGTATGGCAAGAAGCTTGGGCTTATGAATTGAAATTTCTTTTTTATTTTGGGAATGCTACTTGTATGATTAAGAAGCTAATAATGTAGCCCTGTGATTATTACCATAAGGGTTTGTGAACCTTTTTTTTTTGGGGGGGTTCATAAATTAAAGTAGCATTCTTTCTAGTTATAATTAAAGTAGCATTCTTCCTAATTATATAGTTGGCCAAAAAAAAAAATCTTTCTAGTTATAACTTTCTAGTGTTATTTTCACATCCTCCACAATTCCTCTATTTTCCTTGATAGAATTGATTATTTTATGAAATTGTGGGCACTAATCTATTAATCCTTGCAAAGTCTTAATTGAGGAGTGATTCAAGAACTTTAACCATTGAGACCAAAGTAAAAATTGGCGTAAATTTCTCGCAACATAAAACTATTTATCAAATCATATATAAATTAGATAATATAAACATACTTATGTATGTATAACTACTTACTTTTCTTACAATTTTAAAATTAATAAATAAAATAAATGTGAGACATTTATAAGATTAATAAACATGGATATAAATATATATATTAGGATATGATTTGAATTTTAAAGGCTTTAAGTGGATATAAATATTGATTATACGGAATTGCAAGATGCATGTGAGTAGTTTAGGAAGACAAGTGAAGCTAAGCACTTAAAGAAAGGGTCATTTTCATCCAACAAATATGGCATATTCGAGCCATACACCCCACAGTCCTCTAGCACAATAATGGAATTATGTGAATTATTCACCCCTCCCTTCTTCCATATATGGCCTTCTCTCTCTTCTTTTCTCATCGTCTATCTTTAACCTTCATCTTCATTAATTACCACCAGCCATCAGCTCAAATTGACTTAATTGTTACCAACAACAAACGAAGGAATAAAAAGTGAGATTAGCCAAGAAAAGCATTAAAACTCAAAAAGACAAACTGTTGTTATCACCACAAGAAGATGTACTAGCTGGGCACTCGCATCAAGTTCATTCTCCAGCCACAGCCTAAAACCATTTTCACTTCTGTAGAAGCATTATGAGAAGGAACAACTCAGTCGCCGTAGAGCTTCTCTTCGAAGGGCTCTGCTAGCTACTGATCATCAGGTAAAGACACAAAGACAAAGTTATCGCGTTTTGTATTTGCATTATCGCATGACCATACGCACTAATACGAATAATCTGTCAATTTGATCTCTCGAGTTTTGCATCTCAGCTTCATCCTTTTTCTCCTTCTTGGTATGATCTTCTCCTTCATCTTCTTTTTTCTCGTCAGATAGAAACACAAGTTTTATTACCATATCTGAGAGTGAGTTGCCCATGATCTGTCCAGTGAAAGTTGGGGGCTTAGGAATCCTAACTCTTCACTCATCTTTTCAACAACTCCTACTATATTTTGGCACTATTGTCCTTTTATATTTCCCTGCAACAATCAGTTATCACTTAAACATATTCGAAGTATTCTTGTTAGGAAAGTATAGAGGCTCTTGAAGAAAATGCAATCAAAATATTGACCTCTCATTTCTTTGATTAAACACTTTTACAGCACTGTGTGTGTGTACTATTCTAGATTATCATAGCAGAACAGGCTAGACGCTGGCTAGACCCTTGCACCATTACTCTTTTTTTTTCTTTGACCAGATTGCACCATTACTGCTTGGCAGTTGGTATATTGCATATTCTTAACAGTCTTGTGTGTGTGGCGCCCACATTTTTGCCCCTATATTAAAGGCCTGGGCACCACGAACAACCTCGTATATATTCTAGGTAATAGTGGAGATGCCTAGGGAGTGGTCGTTGATCGTGAAATGAATAATGATGACAATTAAAGGTTTGTGCATGTGCATGTGCTGTGTGGGAGGTCTCTCTGTCAGGTTGCGTTTTATTGAGTTATCTTTTTCCAGGAAAGGTCTGTTTAAGCAAAGCTGCACTGAAATGGAAATGAGCATATATATATATATATATATATATATATTAACGCATAACTTTTATATAACTAGGTGCCATAGCCGTAAAGTATAATTAAACTGATAAACTCGAACAATTACTATTCTATGGGTTTATCAAGTAACGTGATTCGATGAATTTGAAATGTTTGCGTATTTCAAAGGTTTATGATGCACCGAAAATAAATATTTCATGTTTCAGTGAAGGTGCATTGTGAATTTTAATTATATTTGGTTCCTATGAATTGAGGCTTATACTAATAAAATTAATATAATTTCAAGACGAAAGAAAACAAAAATCCAAAAATTTACATTCCGAGATAATTAATATATAGTGATTGGCCTCATCATGATTCACTTTCTCTATTAAGATAACAGTAAAGCTTGAACTCAGAAATGGCTATTCTTTAGACCTCATATGCTGTCATTTCTCTTTAGACTTTGTTTAGCTTAGCATTTGAACTTCTCTTTGGCAGGTCAAAAAAAGAATGTTGGAGTTTGATTGCTGAATCAAGACTTGGAATTTGAAATTTTGATTATGTCTTCTTCGATGGATAAGCAAAAGAACGTCTCAGCTCATGAGTATCCTGAATTCTTCGAAGTATTCCTCCCTAAATACAACTCGGAAAGGATGGTATGATACCTAGCTACCATGGCTTCTGTAGCTAATTCAAATTTTGACTTTGAATATTTGTCTCGTTATTATCTTCTTCATTGGGTCACATAAATTTTTATTTTTTTTCCATATCTTCATTCTGATTTAATTGCAGCGTATCCCGAATGCTTTTGTCAAATGTTTACGTGAGAAAGTGTTAAAGAAAGCCATCCTCAAGAATCGTAGGGGCAAGATGTGGCATGTCAACGTAAGCAACATTAATGGCGGCCTGTATTTTGACCATGGTTGGCAGCAGTTTACCAAGGACAATTCCTTAGAGGTTGGATACTTCATGATCTTTTCATTTGATGGAAGTAATACGTTCAAATTCAAAATCTATAAAACAAATCGTTGTGAAATGATTGAGACCTATGAAGAAAAGGAAGAAGATAAAGAAAATGATTCTGTAGAGGAGGTAGAGGAGGAGGAGGAAGATGATGAAGATGAGGATGAGGATGCAGATGTTAAAGAAGAGAAGGGTGAACAAGTCAAGAATAGAAGTAGGAAGAGAGAATGCTTTCAGACAGAGTAAGTGTTTGATTATTGAAAACTTTATATTCAAATGTTGGTCTGCGTGTGAATTTCTATATACCTGCTGGTTTATTTTCAACAGGAGGTTCTTCGTCCAAGGCTAAACCAATTAGCCTTGTGGATTATGGAATTGATGCGGAGATGTATGTTGAGCCAGACAATCCCTACTTCGCAACAAAAATAGGAGGAAATAGGACAAACGAGCTGGTAATTACATCTCAATTATCTTTTATCTTCTCTCTTCTATCTCAATTATCTTTTATCTCTCTTCTATCTCAATTATCTTTTATCTTCTCTCTTCTATCTCAATTATCTTTTATCTTCTCTCTTCTACTTCTATGCTTTCACCATATATGCTCGCTTTTTGATCTCACAGTATATTCCCAATCGTATCATACGAGACTTCTCCATCAGACTAATAATTCTTCGGAGATGTTGCAAGGTGAAAATTTCTGATCTTTTTCTTTACATGTCTCACTTGCCCATATGAAAATTCCATAAAAGCTTTTAATCAATGATGAAGTTGCTCAACTATTTTTGGTTAATTAAGCGCCTTCCAAAGCATGAAGTGCAAGAACACCATCAAGAACAAGGAGCTTTTCAAACCCAAGACAGAAGCACATGTGAAGGGGAAGTGATCAAATGGAAAGATGGAAGATTGTGTATCAGAAAGTGGGCTTCGTTTTGCAGACGCAATGGGATCACCAACACTGACGTTTGTCTCTGTGAATTTCTGTTGGGAGACGACGGACAACCTCATACATTAGAGGTTCACATTGTTGGGATTCAGGCCTAAAAGGAGGAGGACGAGGAGGAAGAAAACAAAGAAGATGATGATTGACGATGATCATTGGAATTAGTAAACTTAATTTTATGTCTTTTAGGTTTGAGCCTTTTGATATCTTGTGTGAATTTATGAACTTGGAAATATGTCAGCTGTATGGAAACATGGGATTCGTATATAAGATGTTAATTATGGATCATTTGAACTGCCAACGAAGAATATGGATGAAAAAGACGAGGAAGAACACAAATGAAGAAGATGGGGATAGGTAACTAGGTGTCCTCACCACAGCTCACCGGGGAAACGGACGGTCCAGATGGAATTATATGGAAGCTTGATTCACTGAACGGTTAAGATTGAAGGACATCCCCAAACGACTTCGTTCGGAGGCACATCCGAGGATGCCCGTGGAAGGGCCGCTCAATGGATCCAGCAGGAGGTGGAGGTGAGGTCAGGCCCAAAATGTCCTATGAGTCCAGTAAAGCGACATGGGAGCCCATTGTCCAAAGTTCTTGTTTTCAATTTTCTTTTTTTGCAATTACCATTAATAACGGTAACAATATTTCGTATGCATAAGATCAGGTGCTGAGTCACTTAAAAAAAAAAAAAAGACGTTTTATTTTGGCACCAGAAATTTAAGTGCACAGCACATGATTACATTTACAGAGAGCTCAAAATTTTTCTAAAGAATATTCACTTCCGTAACATTAATTTTTTTAAAAATAAATTTCGATAGAGTCGTTCATTATTAAGATGGAAATATTTTTTAATTTTCTTATATAAAATAAAAAATATTTCTCAAAAATATGTTTGTATTCAAATTTTTAAAAAAAATTGAAAATTTGTAAATACTAAATAAAAAACGTATACAAAAATTTGTTGTCAATTACAAATTTAGTATTGTCAACATTAAATAAAATATTGTTACTAAACCTAATTTAAGATTTAGTAATTTCTATTTTTTTTTTTGTCATTCTCTCAGTTAAAAATATGAAAAAAGACAAAATCACATATTGATTTCTTTTTGGTTAAGAATCCAGACAGAAGATTGTGTACTAATTGTAAAGTGATTTCAGGAAATGGGGTGACTACTCAACATAGAGTACTTATTCTTGATGTACGTTTTAAGAGTATCAGGCAAAAGTACCATCAAGGGGTAAAACCCAGGGTTAGGTGGTGGCAGTTAAAGGGTGAGAAACGAGAGTTATTCAAAAGAACCCTTGTGGAGGAAGGGATTTGGGAGTCGTAGGGAAATGCAAACATGATATGGGAAGAGATAGCCACAAGGGTTCGTTTGGCAGGTAAAGAAATTTTGGGAGAATCCAAAGGTCTTAGTCAGAGAGATAAGGAGACTTGGTAGTGGGATAAGAGTGTGTAAGAGAAAGTCAAATAGAAAAGAGATTGTTTTAAGGCCATACACTCGTGCAATAGTGTAGAAAATTGGGAAAAGTATCAGTTGGCTAAAAAAGAGACGAAGAAAACAATGAGCGAAGCACGTACTAAAGCTTATGAAGGGTTTTATCAGGAGTTAGGAACAAAGACGGGAGAAAGAAATATTTACAAGATTGCGAAGCAAAGGGAGAGGAAAAAGAAAGATTTGGACCAAGTAAAGTGTATAAAGGATGAAGATAGTAAAGTGTTAGTTACTGATGGTGATATTAAGGACAGATGGGAGGCTTATTTTTACAAATTGTTTAATGAGGGAAGCAATTATGTGACTCGGGACTTACAGGACTTGCTAATTAACGAAGATGATCATAATTTGGCTTTATACTCAGGATCCGTATCAGAGAGGTTAAGGCAGCTCTCAAGAAAATGGACAATGGAAAAGCCGTTGGGCTTGATGGTATCCCTATTGAAGTTTGGAAATGTCTGGGAGATGAGGGTGAGGTATGGCTAACCAAGCTTTTTAATGAAATTTTATGCTCTAAGAATATGCCGGATGAGTGGAGGAGAAGCATTTTAGTTCCTATTTACAAGAATAAAGGAGACATTCAAAACTGTGCAAACTACAGAGGGATAAAACTTATGAGTCATATAATGAAGTTGTGGGAAAAAGTAATGGAATATAGGTTGAGGCTGGAGACTTCTATTTCAGAAAACCAATTTGGATTTATGCTAGGGAGATCTACTTCGAAAGCAATCTATTTACTAAGAGGGTTAATGGAAAGATATAGAAGTAAAAGAAGGGATTTACATATGGTCTTTATTGACCTGAAAAAGGCTTACGATCGTGTGCCAAGAGAAGTAATGTGGAAGGCTTTGGAAAAAAAGGTGTACGGGTTGCTTATATCAAAGCCATACAAGATATATATGAGGGGGTAATTACCACTGTAAGGACGCCTGGAGGTGAGACAAAGGACTTCCCTATTCAGATTGGCCTACATCAGGGATCCTCTTTGAGTCCGTACTTGTTCAACATTGTTCTGAATGTTCTAACTGAACCTATTCAAGAAAGAATCCCTAAGTCCATGCTTTTCGCGGATGATATAGTTCTCATGGCGGAATCAAAAGAAGAGATTAACACTAGATTGGAGTTATGGAGAAGGACGTTGGAGTCGAAAGGTTTCCGCTTGAACAGGAACAAAACAGAATATATGCATTGTGATTTTGGGGGAAGGCAAGGCAATGGAGATTTGGAGGTGAAGATGGGGGAGCAAATCATTCCTCAAGTATCAAAGTTTAAATACCTAGGATGCATTATACAGTAGGATGGGGAAATTGATGGAGACGTTTCTTATAGAATACAAACTGGCTGGTTAAAGTGGAGGAAAGCTACCGGAGTTATTTGTGATAAGAAGGTACCTGAGAAACTTAAAGGAAAATTTTATTGGACTGCTATAAGCCCGGCTATGTTGTATGGTAGTGAATGTTGGGCAATAAAAGGAAAACAAGAGCACAAAGTTAGGGTAGCAGAAATGAGGATGTTGAAATGAATGTGTGGTCATACAAGAAAAGATAGGATTTGAAATGAAAATATCAGAGCAAGAGTCGGTGTGGCACCTATCTAAGAGAAAATGGTTGAAAATCGCTTAAGATGGTTTGGACATATGTAGAGAAAGCCATTGGAGGCCCCGGTGAGGAGGGTGGATCAGACAAGATGGAGTCCCATAAAAAGGAACAGAGGAAGACCAAGAAGAACGCTTAATGAGGTCATTGAACGAGACCTCCTAGTCAATAACATATCTAAGGACTGGGTTGTTGACAGAGCACGATGGCATCGTGTGATTCATTTAGCCGATCCCACCAAGTGGGATAAAGCTGCTTGTTGTAATAATGTTATAATGAATATTAGATATTTTATTTTGCCAATACACCGCCGCCTCCATTTTGCATCTCTTGGGACTCAAGACCTCCGACTTGTCCTCAGTGACCAACTGACCATGTTGGATGGGTGATGCCGAAACACTTGGACACATGTTATTGGTTCAATAAATGTACCCAACAATATTTGTTTTGTTTTCAAGCTCTTGATCTAATCTCAAAAGTTTCTGGTAAAAAAAATTCTCAAAAAATTAAAGTAGAACATTAAATAATTATGTCTTTAATATGGGACATAATTACTGAGTTAATTTTGGTTTTAAATATAAGACCTATTTCTCATATTTATCAACTTTTTCTAAGTTATTTTTATGAATATTCTTTCAACTATAATCAAATAGAAAAGAAAAAGAGAATATTAAGAAAAAAGATTATAATATTTTAAGAAAAATATGTCATATATTTTATAATTAACTAGTCTATCTATTTTTTTAATCTAATTAAATTAATAAATTAATTAAATAGTTCTTGTATATATTAAGTATCGGGGAAGTATTATGCGATTATATTTCACGTGGACATGCGAGGAAAAGGAAGCCGCTAGATTTGTCCCACCGAATATCCCAAACCGCGACGGGGCATATGCCGTATGCTTTTCCTATGGGCTATCCTTAAATTTCCGGTGATTGCTTCCTCTATCCATTGTGCGTCCCCCAGCTCCCGTTTCTGACATTCATCGGCCACCACAGTTTCAGGAGGCCGCCATTTTCAAGGCCCTTCCCCTTTTTGTTTCTCTATATAAACCTTACCCGCTCCTCCTTCGTCCCCCAAGCTTCTTTCTAAACACCCAAAGTTCCAACAAACAAAGCACAAGAGGTTCTTGATTCAGACTCTGAAAATGTCTGCCATTGCTGAGATATGGATGGGCAAGCTGTCAAAGCTTAAAGCAAATATCACGCCTCCCAAGCCCTTGTCGTCGTCCAAAGCCAAACAAGGATCACAAATTGAGCGCCCTGTAGAAAAGGATGCTACGAACAACAAGAAGGACTACACAAGTTTTCGTACAGACACTTCAATGATGTCTGAAGCATCCGTGTGTTTGCTTATGGATCGATTCGTGCCTTGGTGATTATATATGTGTATATATGTTCTGATGTATTTGTACATCTCACTACACCAGGTTTACTCTGGCTAAACCTTTTTTGTTTCGGGGGCGATCTTAGAAGTATGCTTTGAATCGCTCTTGCTCTGGTTCATTCTCTAAAGAAATGAAAAGCCAGATGTATTGTCTCCTCTTTTGAACTGAGCTTTATCTTTGGATAGATCAAATTATATATTATTGACTATATTGCCAAGTAGCTTGACACGACGGACTAATATTAGCAGAAATTCACCTTGTACCATTGAGATCAAACATGATCACAAGCAACTCTTTCCTCCGATGCTTTGTGCAAAAGTATTGATTTACGCAAGTATATGGAAAGCTAATTGATTTACACAAGTATATGGAAAGCTAAAACGGAACATACCTGTTCTTAAATATGAATCTAGGTCGCAGCTTCAACCTCAAGAATGGGCAAACAACTTTCTGAGAATAGACATGGACTGTTCTAACAAAATAGTCTGTATATCAATTATCTGGGGGAAGAATCAGAAGGAGCTTGCCTCCTCTATTTCAAAGGTGGTTGAAAAAATCTCAGGCTGGCAAGAAGGTGGTATCCATTTTTCACATGCCGTGATTACTCTTGCAT